GCGCCCAGCGCCGCGCCCGCGCCGCGCGCCCCCAGCCGCTCCGTGGACCCCGCGCAGCCCCGCAGAGACGCGCGTGTCGCCCGCACCGCGCAGGCACCCGACCTCCCTGTCTCCGACCCACCGGAACCCCGCACAGCTGCCGCGCACACTGCCGCGGTCACGGTCCCAGCGGCCCACCCGACTGCACCCTGCTCTGGCCACCGGGGCTGCCGTACCCCCTCGGCGCCGGCAGGAGTCGGGGGCTCTCCGGGGAAGCCCTCAGGGCGGGGCCGGTGGGGGGCTGGGGCGCCAGTGGAGCAGGTGCGTCCCCCTCCCCATGTCCCCGGGCTCTCATTAGCAGTAAGCAGTGCAGGCGGCACCTGGGGCCCAACAGTCCCCCCCTCCCCCTACTCCCCATCCTCAGAGCTTCTGTCTGGGCCGAGGGGACTCCCAGAACCGCCTGGCCTTGGGGGCTGGGGGACGCTATGTGTGTCTGCACAGCCTCCTGGCCCTGCACCCCAGCGGTTACCGTCATCAGCCACAGAGCAACCCGAGTACACATGCACAGGGCCGGGCCCCACCCACACAGCCATTTCTCAGTGTCTATTGACCGGCCTGTGTGGGGTGGTGGGGTGGGGTGGGGGTCTCTATGCTTTGGGGACCCGAAGATTCGGAAGACCCTCCTTGTCCTTGGGGAGAAGAGGACACTGATCCGAAACAGAACCGGGTGGTGGAGTGGTGAGAGGCGGTGGCAGAGAAGGGGCTTCTGGTCTGACACCTAAACAAACCCTGGGGTGAGTAATGGGAGCCCCGCGGGGACAGGGCTAAGCTGGACTTCAGGCCGGGACAGCTGGACCAAAGGCCTAGGTCTGAGTGGAGGAGGAGGTGGAACAGCCTGCGTCCCCTTCTTTCTAGACCCCCTCTGCCCCCTCCTATTTCTGAGGACACCCAGGGGTTGGACCCAGTCTTGCCCAAAGGAGCCCCTATGTGAGCAGGAGGCCAACAGGCCCTGGGGACTAGGGGGCACTTGGGCTTGGGAGGGACTGTCCTCTCCAAGCCCCACCTGCCCCCGGTCTTCCCAAGGCAGGATTACACCCTTCCCCTGCCCCCTGCTGGGGCCCAGGTCCTTCTGGGCCCCATTCCTGCTGCCTTTCCTCTGGGGTAGGCGGGGTCAGTCAGGGAAGATACTTGTCCCCAGGTGGGGGACAGCTCTGGCCTCCCGTGGCCTTCAGTCTCGGTAGATGCCCACTCATCCAGAGGACAGCCAGGCCTGGGTCCGGCCTGACCTCACCTGTGTGGGTGGGGCTGGGTGGGAGGCGTTCACTGGCCTCTAAGGCAGGGTGGTAACCAGGCTGGGCTAGGAGCTCCCTCCAGTCCCCCCACCCCAGCTCATGCTGGGCCTGTCCTCACCAGCAGTGGGAATGGATTCAGATCACAGGTGGAAGGCTGCTGGCCAAAGGCTGACCCCATCCTGCCCTGCCCCCAAGCCCCTGAGGGGAGAGGGAAGGAGGGGTGTGCCACGCCAGCACGACCAAGGGTGATCCTGAGTGTGGGGGTGAAAGGATTAAGGAAAGACAGACAAGAGAATAATAGCTGGGTCTCAGTGGGACGCTGCTCCATGATGAGGAGACGACAGCGCCCACAAGCCGTGTCTTTATTTTATAGCAGATGCCACGAGGCAAAGTAGAGGCGTGATCACGTTGTTTACAGCATTCTCGTGAGTCTCAACCTCACTCAACTACACGCACCTGAACTCTAGCACAAGGCATGTGGGGCTACGTGTTTGGACCATAGGTTCAAGCTTACAACCACAGCCGTTGGCTATAATTGTGCTGGGAGGGCCCTGCCCTCCAGCTGGGACTTGCACGTGG